GGGGGGGAGCGGGCTGGGACCCTTGGTCTGGCCAAGCACCTTCCGCAGGGAACTTGGGCAGCGCAGACAAGCAGGGGTACCCGGGCGGGGGGGAGGCATGGGCAGACTGGCTGGCGGCGAGGGGCGTGGGGTACTAAAACTTTCAGCAGTGGAATCCATGAAGTCTCTTCCCCCACACACATTCAGGCATATTTTAGTACATAGGCTTACCAAGGAGGGCAGAGGGCCACAGAAAATTTCTAAAAAAGCAGCCAGATTAAAGCCTTTTTAGTACCTGAGCTCAGCGTTTATTCCTCAAAGCAGCTGAAGTCAGTGCCTCTGCCATCTGTCGTTACCGTCAAGCCTGATGTTGGAGTTCATGGAAAAACGAAGCCTTAGGGTTGCATACGGTGCACGCAGCTCCTGTAGAACGGAAGTCAGATTAGGGAACCCAAACCTCCTCTCTTCTAGATGGGGACAATCTTTTTAGTAGGGCCAGCAGTGACAAGACAAGGGGTAATGGTTTTAAACTAAACCAGGGTAGGTTTAGACTAGATATAAGGAAGAAGTTCTTTACAATGAGGGTGGTGAAACACTGGAACAGGTTGCCCAGAGAGGTGGTGGAGGCCCCATCCCTGGAACCATTCAAGGCCAGGTTGGACGGGGCTCTGAGCAACCTGATCTGGTTAGCGGTGTCCCTGCTCACTGCAGGGGGGGTGGGCTAGATGGCCTCTAAAGGTCCCTTCCAACCCAAAACATTCTATGAGTCTATGATTCTAGCCCTAAAAATGGGAGAACAGCAGAGGAGCCAGGAAGGTTTTCCTGGGGGCGTTTACTGGGTGGCTGTATCCATCCCAGCCCTCCTCAGACTCCCTGGGAGGCTTGTGGAAGCACCAGGAACGCTTCCTGCATCTCACCTCGGCGCTGCGGGAAGGCGGCTGGAAGCAAACAGCTCCTGTGCCCACCTCACCGCGACGCCCGCTTGGGCTGTCTGAGACCCCCAAATGAGCGCGCGAGCGCCATATTCCCCAGGGGGCCTCTTGGTTTAGCTGGTAAGAGCTCTGTATGTCTCTAGGATTGTTTATACGGGGCCAATGATACAAGCTGTTCATTAATTTTCACCTGCTCCCTCCAGGCCCCCTCCCACCCCCACGGGAGGCAGGCTCCCATGTTATCCCGCCTATGTTTTGACCCCACGCGGGTAAATCTGCCTCTCCCACCCCTTCCAGCTCCCATCCTTTCCCTGGGAACAGGAGTTTCACAGGGCTGTTTTTTTTCCAGTCTCAGAGCTGAGTTTGCAAACCCGTACTGTGAAAGCTGCAGCACATCAGCACCTCCACACAACCCCTGGTAGGCCTTCCCCCCGGCCGGCAGCGCTCGCTGACATTTTGGGCAGGCAGCGTAGGTGTTAACAGGCGTCTGTTCTACACCACACAAACTGGAAGCGCATTTGGGATGCTTTGACCTTGGCTGGACACCAGGTGCCACCAAGCTGCTCTATCGCTCCCCTCCTCGGCAGGACAGGCGGGGAGAGCAGGAGGTGGAAAAGAAAGAAAACACGTGGGTCAAGATAAAGGCAGTTTAATAAAAAGCAAAAGCAAAGGCTGTGTGTGGTAGCAAAAGGAAAACAAGATTTTATTCTCTACTTCCCATTAGTAGGTGATGTCTAGCTATTTCCCAGGAAGCAGGGCTTCAGTATACATAGCTGTTGCTCCGGAAGACAAAACATCGTAAAAAACAAATGCCCACCCCCCTTCTTCCTTTTTCTTAGCTTTTATATCTGAGCCAACGTCGTATGGTATGGCATACCCCTTCGGTGGCTGGACACCAGGTGTCTTGGCTACGTCCCCTCCCGAGACCTTGCCCCCTCCCAGCCCCCTGGTGATGGTGGGGGAAATGTCGGAGACACAGCCTTGGCGCTGCGCGAGCCCTGCTCAGCAGCAGCCAAAACACCGGAGCGCTACCAGCACCTTCCTAGTCACCGACAGAAAGCACAGCACTGCACAGCTCCACCCAACACAGTGCGCATGCCACAGAACAGTAGGTCAGAAAAATGCCTTCTGATTTACTTTATTTGGCTATATTTTATACTTCTTAGAGTAGCATGCGGTCACGGACATGTCTACCACCTACAGAAGACGGACCGCTTTAATTCTCATGCAAAATAACGCTTTTACATGGGAATTTCACGAGGTCGCGTTACGTACTGCCACCACAGCGGTGGCAGATGCCCTTCCTTACGAGCTGGAGGCAAAGCTTCCGTTCTTGGACCATCAGCCGGAGTTTCTTCTTCTAACTGCTTGATCTAGAAGACAAGACAGAAACCTGCTTCAGTACCTATACGCGCGCTCCCACCACGCGGTGCTCGGTGCCCAGGCGGCGTGCGAGACGGGCCCCCGTTTCAGAAGGCAAGAACCAGCAGTGACCCCTTCGGCTGACTGACAGGTTCTGTGTTTCTCAGTATCCACTTAAACTCAGTCACCATTGCAGGCTCATACTGCCTAACTAAGGAGGAATTTTTAGGAGTAAGAAGTGATTTACATGTGAAATTTTACTCAGAAGGCAATTATTTGCACATAATTCACACCTACCACTGCAACATTAAACAGACTGCATTCTCCTGCTGCTTTGAAAGATGACAGATAATGAATTACAAGTCCTAAAGAACTTCCAGTCAGTTGGAGACCTCTCTTTCTGCACGCCTCCAACAGCCCATTAGATGTTTTCAACACACATTTCTTCAAGCAGCGTAAGTGCTGGCTGCCACTATGTTAACCCTGGTAAGGGTGCCACACTACACACAATCCAGCAATTTCTCCATAGCTGAATTGAAGAGCTATTCCAAGAACATCAACTTTTTCAACTGAATCTCAGTTCAGGTTGGCCAGAAATCATTCTCGATTCCCAGGTGATGAACACCATGGTAAGTCACTTCCACAGGTCCAACCAGAAAGCGTCAGAGCTCCACAGCAGCAAAGAGGAATTCTCTGGTTATTCATCTCCTCTCATCCCACTTTGGAATTTCCTTTAGCAAAGCTGCTGCAGCAGCCCCACGCTAACTGAAACACGGCTGCAGGTTCAGCTTTAACTTCAAATTCCCTTCACAGCCCTTAAGAAGCTGTAACTCCGAGACCTCTGCGTAGGCATTTTAAGTCAAGTCAGTGTTTCACGCTGACAAGAGTTCTAATAAAGCAGAGTCTAAACAAGACCACGGCAGGCATTCACTTTCCAAGAACACATCTAAATGTCACACAAAATACTCGTGTGCTAGAGAGGCTGCACTGTGCACTGAGCAAGCACTGACCTCTTTATCCCAGCTTTCCCGCTGCAGCTTCTTCCATTGCTCTCGTTTGGCAAAGTAATCGGGATACATCGCCTTCTCAGAAGGGTGCCAGTAATCCAGGCACCATTCAGGAATCTGTTAAACAAATTTTTGAAAGTCTCATATATATTATTTTTCCATATTAAATCAAATATAGTACACACACACACAAAAGAACTAAACAGAGTCACGGAAGCCAGTATTAAAATGGATAAATAACCCAGGAAATAAAGTACTCCAAAAAACCACCATTTAAGAGCTACCTGACTATTGTTAAAGTCACAATGTGACAGAGGTCAGTACTTTTAATCTTTGTTTCACACATTATCCTAAGTCATAGAAAGGCATCATAGTGACTTGCTTGAATCATAGCATCCCGAAGACAAGTCCAGGCCACCTCAGTTTACGCTGAAGTTCTCAAAATAATTCCCTCTGATGGAAGAAAAGATCTCATTTCTTCTTTTCCTTCTCCCAAAGGCAGCAGGTTAGAGAGATCCTTTCCTCCAACTAGTAATTCATTTTCTCTGACAGAGACACAACCTTATAGCTCATTTAAACTGGTCTACAACTAATCAAACTAATTAAGATCTTGATAATGGTCTGACCTCTAAGATACCCAGTCAGGAAAAAAAAACAAAATTTAAAATTCTGCAGCAGCCTATCAGTGGATGTTAACATTTTAAAGGCAGGAACATTGATTAAAAACCAAAATAAAACCCCACAAAAACACCCAATTCTTAAAAAAAGAAAATTAAGAAGTTGCTCCTATACCATCATTCATCCAGTGACATTTAGACTTCTGGTTTCCTGCTGTGATTCTCATCACCGAGTATACCTTTGACTGAACAGAAATAGCAGAGCTGCTAATAATAATAAGATATAAAAAAAATCCACACACCAAACGACAACTAAAACCATCAAACAGGCTGAGATCTAAAAATTACGTTTTGTAGCAGCATCCACAATGGACAGTCACTGATCTATCAACAAGCCAAATCCCTGTGACAGCCATTTTGTTAAAGGACAGTTTTAGCATATCAAACAGGGCAAAGAAAAGAGAACACGAACGAGAAAACTAATCTTGACCATTTATGGCTCAACTGGCCTTTTTTTTCTGTCCGAATTCTCTCTATTATCTCTATTACTGCTAAGGCCCTGGCATAAGCTTAAGTCCTCCTCTTCCCTTTTCACTCATTTATATTCTTTTTTCTGCCTCTGATAAATCTACATCAGATTCTTCCTTTCACATGGCTTCTTGTGCATAAAGATCTGATCAGATTTAGTCTCATGTATGCACTTCCTTCAAATTCAGGAGAAAGTGGGAGCGTGCACTCTCTAGGTTAGTATTAACTTCTTGCAATGCATTAGGAGCCGATGCCAAGAAAGGGAAAACCCTGTGCTTTTCTATGAAACCTCTTTCTCTACGCCAAAATAGAACAACCTAGGAGGGGAAAAAGCCTCTAGAGAGTGCCTTACATTCCAAGAATACCACTTCTATTTTTAGGCATACTACCTATCACACAGTGACACACAAATATGTATCTGGCACTGCAGCATTGGAAGGGAAATGATAATTTGTACCATTCCTCAAAATGCTGGAAGAACGATGGGACTGAGTGAAGCTCCCCAACAGCCAAGCCAACATCTGACAAGCCCAGAGAAAAACCAAGGCTGTGACCAGATGGCACTGCAACGAGCAGCATAGATTCCTCTGTCTTATTTACTTTCACAGCTCAGCTCCAACCCTTTCACTGTGCCTGCCTCACACATCATGGAGCTGCTTCCATTTGGCAAAGGAGGAGAAGATTATCCCAGCAAAAAGAAGCTAGCTGCCTTCAGACGGAGCAGCAAGCTCCATTTTCAAGGATCAGACAAGCATGACAGCTTCCCCCATACAAGCAACAAGATGTTCAGCAGCAGTAAACTACCAGAGAAACGATACTGCAGAGTCAAGCTGCAGCCCTACGAAAGTCCACTCAGAACACTCCCTTTACATTCAGTAAAAGAACAGTAAGGTAAGCACAGTAACACACAATCTCACAGGCCACCTTACCTTGTAGCACTCGTATCTCTCATAGGAAGTGCCCCCAGGGGAGTCAGGGAAGATGTACGGCTGAGGATGCTGGTTTGCCCAGAACTCCTCCTCGCCTGCCTTCAGCAGCTCCGTGGCTTTCACCATATCCTTCACATCCTTGTTCTTATCAAACCTGTCTCTCAGGAGGCAGGCAAAGTAGCGGTACTTGTCTCTACAGACAGAGGTTAAGCACAGTGACGTACGTTGGAGGAAAAAAGTAATCAGATACAGAAACAAGGCTTGGCAACGCCCCCACAGACAGGGCTTGGGCAGGGGCTCTCAGGAGCTCCTGTTCCCACATCGCCCTTTTCCGTGGCAGGCAGAGACAAGCGACCCAGCGGCTCTTTCCTCACCCCTTCAGCCATGACTGAGGGAAAGAAAAGGAAGGGAAGGAGACAAAGCCCAATCAAGCCCAACGCCCCGTCCCGGCGAGGAAGGCCGCCCCCGCCGAGTGCGGAGCCGAG